ATTTAAAATTTTAATTTTCAATACATTTGTAAACAATTATTTTCAAAAACGAAACAATAATATCAGATATGACATAGGTACATGATATTATTATCATATTATATATTATTATACATACTAGCTGTATAACCTGACTTTTCCCGGGAAAAAAATAAACAAATATAAAATACGGCGTTATATTATATAGGTGTAGTATCTCAGTTTTAGTGTACCTCTCTGTTCAGATATTTAAGGTCTCGGTAATTAAAACTACTCACTAAACTTCACTGATATCTCTAAGAACAATCTGTGAAATTTTCGTCAAAATCAGACGAGTAGTTTTTGAGTCTATAGTTAACACATAATAATATACCTAGAAGAATCATTTTCATACTATTTGTTCTAAGATATAATTTCTTTATTTGAGGCTACAAGCGCCACTATAATATGATGCATGCTTGTACCTCGTCTGCCCAAGTGGCAAGTAATCATTATATGGCAACCATTTCCATTCAACCATTAAAAAACATTTTGATTTCCAGCTTAAATCTCAGAATAATTGTGTGAGCTGTGAGTATCTCTTTAAAATGCGAATTTTGGAAAATCCTCTCTGAGCGTACCTTTGTGGCGTTACGAATTACGGATTTGGGAATTACGAATTACGGATTTGCTGTCAAAATGCCAATTCTTTAGCCATCATAGTTTAGGCTCTTCGGTGATCAGTTAGACAGGACAGGTTCGATTATACAATAGTTAACGATTAAACGTCAGAATATTATTGTCGTGGGTTCATTATCTCGTGGTTAACGGGCCCTTGGCACGACACCAGTGCGTTTGTATAAGATTTGGGAGTTCACTGCGCATCGTACAATGCAGTAATAACTCAAATATCTTTTAAGTATTTACTTTAAATTGAATAGGTACATACATACAAATATACCACATGAAATTTATTCGTCATTAAAATTTCACAGATCTAATATCTAATGAATTATAAATATTAAAATCGATCTAATGTGAAAGTCATAATTTTAAAAATCCGTTTTAACCAGATATAGGTACGACCATTCTAACTGCAACACGGCGAATTAATTCTATACCGTATTGTAGGTACTTTTGTACACGATAAAAATTCTACTTAGATGATATACGAAACACGGCTAACAATGACTGTCACGTGATAAAAACGATATAATCATATTATTATAGCGATCACATTATAATAAGAATATTAGTAGGGGAGTAGACCGATAATGCTAATAAATTGTAATCGTCCCCGTACCAAGCAAAACAGCTATTCACAAAAACCAGCGACGTCATCCACCACTCGAGACTAGACTATACCCACTAAAAGTATACAGGGCTGTTGTTTCGAAATAAAGTGAACCGACTATTTAACTATACATCGTTGTTTTGAAATAAAAACAGAAATCGTAGATTTTTTTGTATATTTAAATAATACTAGCTGATCCCGTGCACTTCGTTGCTCGTTTAATGTACCAACTCTATATGACTCAAACTTTGTTCAATTCGTTATTTAATATTCGGTGTATGGTTTTCAAAATGTATCTTAACTTTTCCGTTGCCCAGAATAAAAATTCTTGATTGCAGCAGTATATTATCAGATAGGCAATCTACCTGTGGTTGATCGCGGACCCCGTGCTGTTTGTACGTACGTAGGACGTGTATGATTTAACTCTGAATTATCAAAGTTGTACCTGCAAGTGTGGTACGGAACCCTTCGTGCACGAGTCTGACTCTCACTTGGCCGGTATTTTTTATAATTAGTCATATAAATTATTGCCTTTTAAGCCATCTATGAAACATTAACCCAATTAATGCTTGTTAAGTTTTAATGTACATTATAGGCCACTCAAATTTTGAAAAATATTTAGGTATATTATGCTTTTGCAGGTGGGTTGGTCCGACTCATTGAAAATTTGTTAATCACTTAAATCTGAATCTTTTTTTATATAGTATATTAGTATAAACTTATTGGTTACACCACAGTCCACAGAATATATTAATTATTAGATATTATAATGTGTTTAAAAGTCAATAAGTATGTTTGTAATTTTAGTTCCAGTTATTATATAACAATTGTAGGGAAAGATATTATATTTTCAACCTTGGTCTATGATTGGGAGTAATTTTAATATTTTTCCCGGGCGTAAAAATTCTTGGTTCCACCTCTGAATATAATCAATTAATACAAAATCCTAACCTAACCTAACCTAACCGTACTAATATCAGATGAATAAAAAAAACTAAATTATTTAACCATTTTTAAATTAGCCTGTCTTCTTCCCAGAGGTCTAATATGCACACAAACATTCATATAAAATATATATATTATATATTGACAAAAATAATAATACAAATCAAGATCCATGCCCGATTAACCAATAGCAACCAATACACTGTTGCGCCACTGTTGTATTTTTTACATCCAGATTTCCTACTTTTCAGGTGGATTTTCCTAAAATTGTTTTTCTTAAAAACCTTCTCCTGAGCTATTCATTTATTATGATTGGAATTATAATTAATAGAATTATTATATTATGCCTTATAAAATGTAGGTCGTAGGATGTCTTATGTTTATGGATAATAATTTTAGTTATAGTTTAATAAGTAATAACGGTAAACGTTCACTTTCCATTGTTTATAATACATAACGCGAACACTTTCGGTCGGGTAAAACTTTAGATTGCAGAACGCGGACATTTTGTACACAAGTCGTGACCATACCATGTTATTAAATTTAAGTTTGGTAAATCTAAGTATCTTATACATTCCAAATAGGAGGGAATAGTGGGTTATTAGGTACCTGTATATCTATATAATAATTTTAATTTGTCATTTTGACATATTTATATTGTACATATTTTTAATTTACTTAACATAAATGTTGATAATAATATAATACAATTATAATTTATAATCATATTATTTTGGTTATTTGATTATTTTGATAATTTTTAGATTTTTAGGTCATCAAGTTCCTAAATTAGTTTATAAATATATTATAGCACCAAGTAATATTTGGCTGTTATCTAACCAATTAATTGAAAAAATTGATTATTTTGGCTATTGTTAATATACGAGTACTATATTTTAAAACATATTTAAAATTGACTTTTTATTTAATTTTTAACATTGAGGTAGGTACCTACATTTTAACAATTTATATTATATATATTTACTACTTAGGCATCTATTGTAGTAATGTGAATATAGGATGTGCACGCAATATATACAAGTTTACTTATATTTACTTAATATATACCTATATGATTTACTAATCATATACATTGAAAACACACTATAAATTACTAAAAAAATACGTAAATTACGTAAATATACATATATATAAGGATTTAATTATGTAGAAAATTTACTTACCCTAATTCGACGGCAGACTATTGTTAGGTATTCGATGAACGAAGGAAGAAAAAATAGGTTTAATATTGATTTAATTATAATTTAATATTAATCAAGAACACAATTGATAATATATTAAAGATATTTTAAAAATTGAAAGAATGCATCTATTATTTAAGACAAAAAAATATTATATTGAACATATATTATATAGCTCATTAGTCATTACTCATTACGTATATGACCACCACCAAGGTACACAGGGGGAGTCCGTTGTGTAGATCGGGCCGATGGTCGATGGGTATCGTCAGAGTCGATGGAACAGTTTATTAAGATGAGCACAGATGTCTATTAAAATTTAAAATATAAACATCTGTGTGAGTGTGTGACTGTATATACAATATTTAATATATATATATACATATAAAATAATATAACTATGACAATTTTTTTAGTATTACCTAGTTATGCAGAGTGGCAATCGTTATGTACCTTTTTATGTGGCTTTTATGTGGCACGTTGACCAGTCGCAGAATGCGACTGGGAGTAAGTAACAACTACAGCTACTAGCTCCCGGATGGGTGACCAACCGGGTTCATAGTAGTTAAAAACCTTGCCACACATACACGTGTTTGCTACCTACCGTAACAATCGTAAAAACAACCTACCGTACCAACCTTACCCCTACCACAGTTCATAACCATTGCAACAGCTAATGGCCTTGGTCGCCGGGCTTAAGTTTAATAAAAAATACCTTTTTATGTTATGTTCTTATAACATTATAAAATAATTTTGCATAAAATTAACAATAGAATCAAATTACATAATTTTGCAATTCAAATTTAAAATTTTATGAGTATATCTACATTTTTTTTTATATATAAATATATTTATACATTTAATTGATTATATTATAATAAAATAGATTTAAAACTAGACTAATCTAACCTTAATATATACTTGTCACATGTGTGTGTTGTTAATTAGTTGTACATTTACTATGAAAATGTTGTAAGTATAAAATTTCTTATTGTACCTATGTGGTATGTACCTACCTATGCGACTTCACTTTTACATGAATACAATAAGTTATAGTAATCATATTAATACCTATATATTAAAGTACCTAGTGATGATAATATTAATTTATGTATAATAATGCACAGCGCGATGTATTATAAAAATGAGACTTAGCAATAGGTAATATACGATAATAGTGTTTTTATTATTACTTGGTATTTAATGTTTAGTTATTAGATATTGTAAATATAATATAAATACATAACATGTATAATATTTAAGTTTATTGAACATATTATATAAGTTATATAATGTGAAATATTCTACTTCGATGCTAGGTATTAAACTACAAATCAACTATTAACTAATTAGTGTATAAAAGATAATAATGTGTGTTTATGGATGCATTTTTAGACAGACATTTTTCTTCTTGGTGTTATTTTTATTTTTTCTGTGTGTTTTTTGTCTGGAAATAAGGTAATGTTGGCCCTTTGTCTATAGTTTTGATCGTGTCTTATTTTTTTTTGTGCAATTTGTGCATAATATAGTTTGTTGTGCCGGAGAATATTCCTGCTATGAGTCTTATACTCCAGCCAAAGGTTTGGTAAAGTATAGTAATATTAATGATGATTTTTTGTTAATATTGATATAATAGCTCTCCAGATAAAGAATATGCCTAAGAATCCAGAAATGCAGGATCCAAATGTAGTGAACCATCCCCAAATTTTATATGACCTGTCTTCTATTATTTTTGATATGGTAGTTTCATCAATTAAGCTTTTTAAACGTAGTCCTTGGTCTACGTATGAGTACCCCATGGATTTCCTGGCTATATTGTTTAGTGCTGTCTGGATTTCTTGTGGTAATAGTAGATGTTTTTGTAGTGCTGCCATAGTGTCTTGAGAGTAAATTCCAGCTTCTATTAAATATTCTGGACTTTTGTAGTTCCAAGTCCATGGAGTAAAAGGTTTTAATGTTTGTGGTTCTTTTATTTTCCCAATAGTTGGTGTTATTCCATACCATTCTGAAGCAAGACGGAATGCTACAGGGAGATATTTGTTGCAATCAATTTGGGTGCCGTAATTTTGCAGTATGTATGTTTTTGGTGCCACGAAATAAGTTTTATTATTAAGCGTGACTGGTAATTCATTAAAGCATGCAGTTTTTTGTGCATATTGTACATCAACTGGTTTACATTTTATTAAGTAAATTATTTCCCCTGCTTTTATTGCTATGTTTCCTGGACCTTGTCCCATAGCATATGCAAATTCGTCTAGACTGTATGTGGCTAATGATAATTTGAATAATAATTGTGTTCTATCTATTTCACATTGCTTTCTTATTAATTCATTGTATAATGAAGATATTGTGTTTTTAAAGAAGTTTTCTATGTAGACAAATTTTGTGTTAATATATGTCATGAGATCTGTGTTTTGAGGTGAAATATTATTGGTGGAGAAATTATGCATAAATTCATTGTCTTTTAATATGAATAATTGTGGGTGTTCTGTTTGTATAACCGGTACTTCGCATGCAAATGTTTTTTTTATTTGTTTTAGAGCGAAGACTATGTTTTCAATTTCAACTAAGAATGTATGTGTTTGTAACAAATTTTCTGGTGTCTGTTCTGAAATCATTAATGTTGCAGGGCCATCATATAATACATCAAAATTATGCTTGTCACAATTTTGATGTATGATATTATTATTCCAGATTGTTTCACCTGTGTATGAATCTATTCCATACATTTCTGATAGTCTCATTCTAGTCCCAGTTGGTAAAATTAATAAGTCTTCCTTACTAATGATGTTTGCGACACCTTCACTTAATTGTATTTTGTAATTACCTTTTACTACAACATTTTTCCACGATCCTTTATCGGTTGAATATGATGTTCCTTGACAGTTTCCATTTTCGTCGATGTTACCAGCTACTGTGTGTGTAGCAAATGTGGTATGATTGATTATTAACTCTGTTATAATGCCACCTGAAGGAAAATGAAATGTTGAAGTTCTGTGGAGTTCTGTACAACCTGAGTTTCCCAACAGTACTAATTCTGAAAAATATTCATCTTCAACTGCTTGAGCGCCATCAAAGGTTGCACATTTAGTAATTAAATAGTCTACTGAAATTAGACATGACTTAAAAGATATTGTGCTGGTGTCAGCTTTTTGTATTAGTTTAATTCTTGGAAGTTTCATGCTTGTTGCTGGTGGTGGAGTTTTGCAGTGATCAACTTCTAAACTGTTGAATGATGTTATCTTTATTCTTTTTTCATTGCAGTTATATGCTATGAATCCATAAACTGGCACCAATGCTAGTATAATACATATGATGGTTGATTGTGGATGCATCGTAGAAGTGTTTTATCTGTAATATTTTACAATTTAGTATAACTTATTAGTTATATCTAATATTTTTATTTTTAATTATTTATTATTGTGTACCTACATAAAAAACCTTATAGTACCAGCTATTACATTGTATACAAATTAATATTTATATTTTAGTAGGTATTTACATATTTTTCATTGTTATTATTACCTATCTCTTATAATGTGTTTTTAATACTTTTTTTTAATTATTTTTAAATTGGTATACTATTATTATTTTTATATTATTTTTTATATTTATTTTTCTAAATTTTTTTTGTTTTCTAATAAATTATAAAGACTTCTTTTTAAACAGTTGTGTTATTTTTTTTGTATTTTTGTATTTTTTTTTTTTGCAACATATTGCCGTTCATTATTATGTGTTTTTATTTATTAATTATTATTATATAGCTTATCAAATTTGTTTAGCAATTAATAAGCAATTTTTGTGTGTTTTCATTTATATTTAATATTTATAGTTTTTTATTTAAAGGGCCTCGCAATGGCATTGATTTAAGGAGAATCATTTAGGCAATTTCTAATCTTGTCATCGCCACCCGAGATCTATGTGTTAGTCGTAAATGATTATTAATGTGTGTGGCGTACTGGCGCGCAGTGGTCCAAAATGAAAGTTTGGCGCGTCAAAATTATTAAAAAAAAATTTGTCTTATAAATCTTTTTCTAATGATGAACTGGCTGTCTTCAAAATACTGATCACAAAAATAACTTTTTGTATTACCCATACCAAAATAACTGCAGATAAGAAATGCATTATCGCGAATAAACATGTGAACGTTGTTCATTTATCGAGTAAACGCCGAAAAGAAAGTACCTATTATATTTTTCATAAATTGTTGTGTAATTTTTTTTGTTATATTTTGAAAAATTAAAATGGACATGGAAATTGAAGGTAAGTTGTTCAAATTTGAAAATTGCTACTGTTTTTTTTATTTAATTGTATTGCAGTATTAAAATTATTGAATAATTGATGATTTCGTGAATTTAAAGAGCTCTGAATTGAAATTGCCCAATTTTGCTTTTTAATAAACTATTGTAGATTATAGAATAAGTTCTCAGCTTTCTAATCATGTATAATTTATCTGCCTTTAGCTGCCTTTGCAATTCTAGAAATGTTATTACCATAGAAAATATATTATTACTTTATCAGATAGGTACCTTGAAAATTAAAATATTAAGTATTACATTAAAATTGTATGTTCAACAAGTTAATATAAACGTGTGTGTATGTGTGTTTAAGAATAAAAATAGCTTTAATTATATAAATAATACATTTCTTACTTAAATTCTACAAATTTAATATAATATATTATTTCAGACAATGTTTGTGAAAAAAAATTGACGTTTAAGACACTGTTTTTGCAATTAAGAAATAATGGACCTTTGTCACCTCAAAACATTGATTCTAGAAATTATTTATTGGATTTTATCATACAAAATTACGGTTCTAAAAATTGGGATACAAGTTATATAAAAAATATAGAAACAGAAATCTTGAATTTTTCGCGTTCTCTAACAAAAAAATGGTCAGGTTGTAATCGAACTTTGAACATATTTATGAATAAATATAAAGAATGGTTAGAAACAGAATTTAAATTCCCTGATATAAAAAATGATCAATCTTTAAAAACTGTAGGAAGGCCATCAAAAGAGTTTTCTGACTTAAAAAATAGAACGAAGAGTAAAAGAGTTAAAGCCATCGTTGATGGCCTAACTACTCCAGAATTAATTTTTGCAACTCAAACAAAATTATATAAAGCTGGAAAACGAGATTGTGCAGAATTATTAAAAGAGGCAACTATAACTCCAACCAGAGCTTCTAAAATAAAAACAAATATTAAAAACCATAATAAACCAATACCATATTCTGACGATGAAGCGCTTTGTTGTTTAATTGATAAACGACTTACGAAAAATCAATATATTGGATTGCGATTGGAAGCAAAACAGCGTAATGCTAATATATATCCATCATATAATAGTATTCTTCAAGCCAAACAAAGATGCTATCCAGATAAATGTTTTGTATCAGAAAGTGCTTCTAATATACCTTTGCAAAATTTACTTGATCATACTGTTCAACGAATATTGCAAATACCTACTATTCAAATTATTTCACAATCTTATAATTTTGAAATGATTTATAAGTGGGGTTGTGATGGCAGTGGGGGCCATTCAAGGTATAAGCAAATTTTTAAAACGAAACCTGATAAAACAGATGCAGATATAGTTATGGCATCTTTAGTTCCGCTTCAATTAAGATGTAAAAGAAATGAAAGCTACTTTACTATCTGGGAAAATCCTCGATATTCCTCAACAAGATTCTGTAGACCAATTATGTTTGAGTATATAAAAGAGACTAAAGAAAGTACGAGACGATTAGTTGATCATATTGAAAATCAAATAAAAACATTAATTCCTACCACAATTACTATCAATAATTCAGCCGAAATACAAATAGAACATACTCTAATATTTTCAATGATCGATGGCAAGGTAATATTTTTATACGAATACATAAATATAATTATTGATAATTTATAAAAAAAATGTATTTATTGTTCAAAGTGTTATTTTTTTAGATTTGCAACTCAATAACCGAAACCTCTAGTCAGAAATGTTATATATGTAAATGTAGTCCAAAAGAAATGAACAAAATCGATAGTTTAATAAATTATAAAGCTGATTGTGAAACATACAGATTTGGTCTATCGGTGCTTCATGCTCATATTCGATTGTTTGAATGTTTATTACATATATCATATCGTTTAGATATTAAAACGTGGCAGGTAAATATTATTCTATACATAAGCATTATATACAAATGTATAAATTAATTAATACAGATTGTAATTAAGGTAAGATCGTTGGAACACAAAGAAATATTTCAAAAACGAAAAAAGTATATACAAGATCAATTTCGTTTACAATTGGGTTTATTAGTCGATGTTGTGTTACAAGGTAAGTGTTTAATAATTCATAGTTCTTGCTAAATTTTTAAATATATATATATATTTTTTTCTTTTAGGAGCTGGAACAACTAACGATGGAAACACAGCCCGTAAATTTTTTAAAAATGCTGAAACTAGTGCTATTATCACAGGATTAGACGTCCGATTAATTCAACGTTTCGCTAATATATTATATGCTATATCAAGTCATCATGAAATTAATTCAAAAACATTTAAATCGTACACTTTGGAAACAGCTAAACTTTATGTTAGCCTTTATCCTTGGTATTACATGCCCAGTAGTGTCCATAAAATACTAATACATGGTGCAGATATTGTACAGTATGCATTATTGCCAATGGGTAAGTTTTACTGTTTAACTAAAAAAAAAAAAGATTATTTAATTTAAATAGAATTATAAAAATGTACAGGGCAACTTTCTGAAGAAGCAGCTGAAGCTAAAAATAAGGATTTGCGTAAATACAGAGAGCATCACTCTAGAAAATGTTCGAGGTTAAATACAAACGAAGACATCCTCCATATGTTACTCGTGTCTTCTGATCCATATTTGTCGACAATGAGAAAATTACCGACAAAAACTATAACCCAATTGTCGGATGAAGTAAAATCATTACTTATTTTAAAATTATGTAATTCTGATGATATGGATCATGATGATTTGGAGGTTCATGAAGAATTTAGTGAAACTGAGGGTGAAACTGAGGGTGAAACTGAGGGTGAAACTGAGGGTGAAACAGATGAAGATTTATAAATTAAAAATAATTTGTATACCTACTAAGATTAAAATAAATAAACTTTTTTTTTACATTTACATATCAGTTGATTTTTGGGTCACCCTGTATATATAAATACTATATATGCATAGTATATTAAATTGATAGATATATATTATTATACACACTTATTTGAAAAAGTTTAAACTTGTATATATAAGCATTATCCATTACCTATTAATTTTGACGCGCCAAACTTTCATTTTGGACCACTGTGTGGCGTCCATACAGGTCAATTGTAGCGGTGCGGAGGGCTCTCGCACGCACTCGCACGCACATGTCAATATATAATATTGTGATCATGAAAAAATGTTTATTTTTCACTCAAACGTGTTAAAGTTTTATTTTTGAAGTCTATATAGCCATATAGGTATTATATTGGTATAAAAATGTATTTCCAATTATTATATGACAAGATAAATTTCTTATGACATATCATAATATATGCTTTAATTTCAAATTCACGGGAGTTCATTTTTGATAAATTTGATCAGAACAGAGTTAAAGGTTTATTGTTTACTCTTGTTAACATAATAGGTTCTTTTTTTAAACCACTAATAGGGGGCATTAGCCATTAACGTATGTCTAATTCAATATTATATTTGCTTCTGTGTCTATTGTCACTGGAATGGTAATGTTATTGAATGTAGCTTTAATATATTAGGGTGGTTTGGTTATAATATTATTTATTTTTTAGTTATAATTTTGAAAATATGAAGATAAAGGTGAACAGCAATCAGTATAGTTTAACCTAGAAGTTAGTTTTTTGAGTTCTGATTGATAGATTGACACGGTTTTGCTCAGTGTCCTACTTAATCGCAAATTTGGCATGTTATTATAAGTTTGTTATTGAAATAGCAATTTTATGTTCTATACTTCTATGATTATTTTTTAAGCATATTTTATATTGCTGTGGGTGACTTTCATTTTTATTTCGAAAGCATGTTTCTGTGGTGTGAATACTAAGTAAACAAATTTCCCACTTAACTTTTTTTATTATTAGCATAATCTTGATTTAAAAAATTGGTCCGTCTCATTAAATTTTAAGGTTTAAAAAATTTTTTTTTGGACATGTATAATTTTTCATTTTCTAACAACTGTCTTCAAATTTCAATTATGTATAATTCGGGAACTGCGCCTGTTGTAAGTTCAGTTATTAATTGAAATTTAAGTAATTTATTGATATCTTTTGAAGATAGTTTAAAAAACTATTTTCAGA